CAAGTTAGAAGGCAAATATCCTATATGATCCTGAACCAGAGAGGATCTGTGAACTCCCACCTGAAGAGACAGGACATATGTTATCCTTACAAAAATATTCCTGACAGTATTTGTAACAGCTCTTAAATATTTCTCACCATTTTTCACACAGCATCTAGATTTTTAATTCAGAGAGATGTGGGTCTAAAGTGACCTATTCCACAGTGATTTAGTTGATCTGGATGTTAAAATTCCCTGAAGACGTCCATGGAAAGCAGTTGATGAAAAGATCTTCATAAACCAACAAACCTTTCCCCAAAACTTGTACATAAATTGTCCCATTTTATTCCTATTTTGATAAAAGCTCGATTTCTCTAATTTTGACATGAAAGAATAACTTTTGCTGTTCTTTACTAAGCACATTACTTTACACTTTTATGTAATTTGCACATCATGTCATTAGTTCCAGCTGGAAAAACTGCTGAACTAGAAGGAAAGCGAAACAAAGTCAAAAATTCACTTTCAATATAATTATGTTAAGGTTAAACAAGACATTGCTTTCCAAACATAAACATTCTCCCAAGCCTGGAGAAGTCTACTTTTTGAGGATATGTGGAGAGTAAATAGAACATCATCTACTATGCTGAGGCTGGGTATTGAAATGGTCACAACTTTCAGTAAGTTTCACTGCCTGTCTTGCATCCAACAAGACAGGCTTACATAGAGAAATGTATCTATATAAATGAGCATATTGAAATTCACACTTCAGTTTTTACATCTATTTGGATCAAGGTTGCTTTTAAAGCAGCAACTGAATGCACTTTCACATCTGGTCTTCTGAAATAACTCTGCTGTGCAATCTATCAATACTTCTATAGACTGACTCTCCTTTAGAGACCTTGCATCCAGAATGTCTGTCAAGGTTTACAAGCTGGGTTACTCAGAATAAAGTAGTTCTGTCACTTCTGCATTGTCTGGAGAGGAAAAAGAGACAAGTAGGAGGTGGTCGTTCCACCATGTGTTAACTGAACATCTTTCTGAGAACAGGTGTTATAAGCAGCTGCTGAGAAAAGGCAATGGGACAGGTACTGCTGCATGGGGTATTTTTGCCTTTCTGTTTATTGTGGAATTATGCTACATTGCACCCCATTTGGCCGAGAGAAATTATACAGGAGAGGGAGCAGCATAGGAGACTGTTGGAAGCTAGACTTGTAACACAGCTTTAAGTGGATGGAGAGGACATTCAAATTAGGATCATTCATGTCAGCCACAGGCAGAGAATGAGAAAACTTCCTTGATTTTTAGTGTTCTTTTCCTTAGAAAATATGGTGCAATAGAGAATTTCTCAGCAGTATGTCTTTCCCCACATCATAAGGGTGAGAGTCATATTGCACTTAAGAAAATATCTTAAACCTTACTGGTTTTGGTAAGCTGTGAGGGTAACTAACAACATGTTAACACAGATGGTTTCAGACAGACCAAACATCTTCTCTGTGCTTTTAAGTATCTGAACTATGAAAGAGGCCACATTTTAGCAGTTTGTGTGACAGAGCAGATAAATTCACTAACATGACTTTTGGACTGAGGTGACTTCTGTCCATCCAGATTAGATTAGATTGAAAAAAAAGATCTCTCTGTACCTGCATAGAGCAGATATATCCTGAGGCAGAAAACTACCTCTATTAAAAACTACCTCTATTTACCCCCTGAACCAATTTCCACTCTGTAGCTAAAGCAACAAATTACTTACTCACAATATGTTCAGCAAAATATGTTCATTGATAACAGCAAGTGAACTGGTCTTTTCTTTGCATCACAGTAAGAAAAACTAAAATATTCTTACCTATCCTTGATAGCCTATTGAGTTTAAAGACATATAGACACCAGGGAGTCCTACTAACCAAAAGACATGGAGTTCATAGGATATTCACATGCCAAACATGACATTTATATCTGAATAGGCATTTGAAAAATAACAACAAGCTCTTGAGACTGTTAGAGATTAGAGATAGCTCCAGATAGCTCTGGAGACTATTACAGATAGATAATAAAGGAATAAAGGAGTCTAAAAAGATTGCAATAATGGCTGATTCTATTAACACGTAAAAGAAAAACATTTCTGTAAGAGATGTTATTTCAAGACACAACCAGTGCATGATGTAGGAAAAGGAATAGAGTTTGTCCTTTCAAAGACTTTGACTTATGCAGTTCCCTTATTTTTAAAAAGTTGCTCATACATGTTTAGATAATCTCTCTGCATAGCTACTACTTGACAGCTGTTCTGGACACAGAAATGCAAAGTAAATCCTTCGTTTTGCCTTCTCTCACTTCCAAGTTTCTGGTGGATGAATTCCCTCTAAGCCTGGCCCTGTTCTGATCCATTCCTTCAGTTTCATCTCCCTCCTCTCCTCCCCTTCCAGCTTGTAACCAAACACAAGCTTTGGAGTGAAGCTGCCCAGCAGAAAAAGCTCCAGGCAAGGAAGTTGGAGGGAAGATAATGGTCAGTGTCAAACCAGTCTCAAAGTAATGGAAGGAGAGGGAAAGGGGAGTTTCAATCTCTCCTAGCAAAAGTTATATTGATTCAATTCTGTCCTTTTAACTGAAATAGCTGGCTGCCTCCAGTGAAGCCAGCTTTATCTTCATTCTGGTCTGTTTTCTACTTATTGGAAAGTAGAGAATGGATGAATCAGAATAACATAGTCCCTAGTTTGGGACACAGGATAAAATCAGGTTTTTCTCTGTCCTGCCAATTGGTGAACACTGTAATGATATAGGTTAGGCTTGATTATGTCAAAGGTCTTTTCCAACCCAGTTAATTCTGTGACTCAGTTTATTCAGTAAAACTAAGTAGATTTGACTGTGTTCTCCTGTTTTCTCATGGAGATGAGGGCAAGTCAGGCTCTTCTTCACCATAACTGCACTACAACCAGTGGACTTGCAGCCAGTTAAGAAGTAAGGATTTGTCCTTTATCTGTCTTCTCTGCCCTGCAATAGCAAACATCAGGCATGCTGTCATTTCTGTCAGTGATATTTGCAGTCAATGTATCAGGGATGTTAAAACAAGCATGTTAAGGAGTCAGAAAGCCTAATTATGGGAACAGATTTGTTTCAGCATTCAGATTTGTCTCACCAGCCTGCGTGTGGTAGATGGGGAGGACTCATTGCTTATTTTGGTTTCCAGACCAACGCTGGCAGTTTAAATGTGCTCCTACTTGGATATGAACAGAAAAGCTTTCCTTGCATTCAGTAGGTGAACAACAAATCACTAGTTCTGAATACACCATAAAAAAATATTCCTTAACCATTTGGGGCAGAATTGTTGTTTAATGTAGTGGTGGTACCCAAACATGGAAAAGCTGATTAGCAATATCAGCCTCAGGGGAACTGGAAATCCCTCAAGTCACCAGAGTTACTCACACTGCAATTATAAATAAATCAACTGTACCTTACAAAGTTTAATCCTTTTACATTTAGGGATTGGTTTATGTCGCTGGGTACTTTTGAGTGAAATTATTATCATGTGAGGAAATGCCACGACACTAATGGGTGCATTAGAACAAAAAGGTGTGCTTCAATTGATAGATCATCTTGAAATTATTATTAACATCAGAGTAATTTGTACCAGGAGGATTTTTTTTAAAGTAATTTAATAAATCTGAAATCACATAAAACCTTTTCCCACAAACTTAATGGCAATACCAGTGAGAAATCAGAAAAAGGCTCTAACTCTTATATACTCATATGCTAAAAAAAAGCAATATTGCATCTCAATCTTTTTTCTCTATTTGTTACCATATGTAATAAAGCTGAAGCTAATCCATAACCACAATGATTTTTTAGATGTCGCAAATGTTACACATCCAGAGTATTAAAAATCCCAGAAGTAAGCACTGCTGTGAGTAAATTACCCATTATTTAGATCTGAAAAAGTAATTCCATAACCATTATAAAGTAACAAAGCAAATATATATTCTCACCACATACAGTTTGAAAGATGATTTATTTCAGGAGTTCAGTAGCTATATAAGTGCTAAAGATTTCAAATTTTATCAGCACTCTGGACAATTTTATGAGGTGATTATGTGAATCTGCATCCATCAAAGATCCTATTCTATGATGGAAAGTTAATGTTTCAGAGAACTGGAGTGCTCCCCTTGGCTGTGTGATTCTGACTGAAAGCAGTTACCCAGTAAAAAGGATTGGTTTGGACTGACATGAGCAAACATAATGAGAAAAGCAAGTATTTTTTGAGCAAGGGCTTCACTGACTGAGTAGACATTTTGTGAAAAACTTGAGAAGCTGACAGCATAAAATCTCAGTTATAACTGACCTGAAATAGCTTACTTCTATAAAATGTGAAAAAACCCTCATTTTTTATAGAAATAAAAGTCCTAATAAATTAATGTGCCCTCTTTGGGAGTAGATGAAATGATATGACCCATAAAATAGAGAGCAGACAAGATTCTGAGCAAGCAACAGGAATTTTAAAACATATATTAATGATATATATTTTAAATACACACATTTAATGTTGGCATCTATGCCTTTTTTTAAAAGATGTACAGCAGGCTTGATCCTAAAGCTCATCCTGTAATAACAGTGTATTGCATTTAGCTATGAAACACACTTTTAAAACACAGATACTTATACAGAAGAAAACTGTAATTGCATCATAAATCAGAAGAGCAAAGCATTTTTTAAACATGAACTGAACTAAAATCTATCAAGTTCAGTAGCATTGAACAGCTTTCAAAGAAAACTGACAGGTGTTTTGTTTACTATTTAAGTCTTTCTTTAATGAACATCCTCTCACAGTTGTAAATTCATTGCAAAATAAAAACCTTATGCTAGCATCTACTTCTGTTTTCAATAACAAAGCAAAAGCAACAGAAGCAAACCAGGGTTTTTAGTCTGTTACTTTCACTTTTTTCATTTCATAGTTTTTTATAGCTGATGCTCTCTATTTTAGCAGATCAGACACCAAACCTACAAACAGCACAAACTGTGAGTGACCACTTTACCTTCTGAAAAATCAATCAGTCCCAGCAAATGAAGCAGCTTCAGAGATGCAAATATAATCACAACAATACCCACTGTTTGTAGTCCCTCCGACTCCCACTCGAGAGTCAACATTCTTCCAACAGGCAAATCATTCCAGTCTTCACACCGGTTTGCAATCAGAGGGAAATTAGAGGATTTTACCAAGAGTTTGCTTTGAAGAAATTTGCAGTGGTGTAAAGCACCACTATACCAAGCAGTGGCAGTTCAGCAGCCACTCCAGCTGAGATAAAATATCAGATAAAGCCCTGCATCTCATGCTTCTCTGAGCATTTGCTTTCATCAGTAGCGAGTCCTCCTAGAAGGCTGAGGTGGACCCCGAGCCTCTGGGTATGACATTGTATCCGTGGAGCAGCCTTCCTGGGAGCTGCTGGAGGAACATGTGTGTCGAGCAGGAGCCTTGGCTGTGGCAGTGCCAAGAGGAAAAGCTCTCTGCAAACTTGCACACTGCTATCAGCACTCACTGCTCCGGTGCTCCCAGACCCAGATGCTGCCGTTCTGCCCAGCTCCACAGCCTTTCCCCAGCTCCTCTTAGCACCATTTTTGTTAAGTTTCAGAAATGACAGTTTGCTAAGGACAGACATCTGTTTTCACGTGCTAAATGCTGCATGTCAGAAAACTACCGCCCTCTGCATTAGAAAGAACAATGATCAGAGAAACGCTGCCCCTTCCCCTTCTAAAGCATCACCAGAGTCTAATTAAATCTTCACTGAAAGTGAGAATAGAAATTAAAGAAATACACATCAGCATGATCAGTGCCACCAGCTAGCAAAATACAGTGCTGTCAAGGAGACATGCACTGCCCAAACTCCTGATCCACAGCCAGGAAGAATGTATTCTTTATTGATTAAGAAACAAAACTGCTTTTCTGTCTCAGCACATGAACCTAGAAGTGCTGAACCCCAAACTCTGATATACATTAATGGGTATTCAGCATTTTTCTGGGAAGATCTTATCCAGGCTACACATCCGGGGAAAAGAATCCCAGCTGATTTATTAGATAGTTTGTATAAAACTAATTGTCCTGTGTTTATTAATGTGATTACCAAGAGGATACCCAGTGTGAAGAATATGCTCTAAAGAATATTTACACAGCACATGCATAACCAAGGTTATGCCTAAATGCTTACCCCTGTGCACATCCTAAAAATTTAAATAAATCCTGTTCATTGCTCTACAAAGCACAACAATAAGGTGAAGGGAAGGCTCAGAAAAAAAGTACTTTAGATATTTTTATTAATTAAAATATATGTTCTATATATTTTAATTAATAAAAATATCTAAAGTACTTTTTTTCTAGCCCTTAAAAAAATTACATAAATGATGTCCAGTATCAACTACTCAGGTTACTAAGGTCTTTTGACTAGAAAAAATTTTTGCTAACTAGCAGGAAGTTCAGGTATTTCTACTGTTGTTCAAAAAGTCATTATAATTTTAAATTAGCATAGGAAGTTGTAACATTAACAATCTATTGCTTATGGGCTACCACGTAGAGAAAGAAAGATGTAATCTACAGTTTATTGTCAGCTTTTTTTGGTTTTCTTTGAAGGCTGTACACATTGAAGGACAATATAAACAGAACTCTAGAAGCTATATATTTTTATTCATTCAAAAATGCATGTGTGTGCTTCAGTTAATTTTATATCTAGTTAATATATAAGCAAGAATATTCTTTGGTTTTACACTTCTGGGTATTTAGTACTAAAATGTTATGAGTTCTGTATTATTTACATATCCTTTCAGTCTGAGTGTCAGTTCACTTTCCCATTAACCGGTAAAGCTAAAACAGGGTAAAGCATAGTAAAAATAAATCAAATCAAATACACTATCCCACATTTTCACCTTCCAAATATGTCATAAATTTTTACCTCATATTCCATATTAATAATTCAATAAATTTTCCTGTTAAGTTCTTCTCCTCTTAAAAGAAAAGTAACATTTTGTTTTCTCTTTACAAATTCTAGGTACTCCAAATAATCTTCTCCTTTTAAGGCTCTGAAATGTTAATCCTGATCTCATTTTCATCTCTTGCTCCTATTTTTTCCTTGAGGTAATTCCTACTTAGGCTTTTCTTTTTCTCAATTTGTGTTCTTTTTCTTCAATGATGAAGCATGAACAAATGTTTACGATACTGCAGAAACAATAATCCTAATACAATACCACACTCACACTACAGCAGTAAAAAGGCCTTATTTATCTCTAATAAAAGGTCTTAGGGAAACTCTTAAAATGGAGAAATCTGTCAGTCCACATTCCCCTTTCATGCAGTAGGCTCAGGCTACCTTGTGCTCTTGAGCTGCCCACTTTGGGAGCAGGGTCCCTTCGACTCCACCAGGGGAGGCGCCAACCCACCTACCAGTGAAAGCCACCCAGCAAGAAGTGGTCCCAGACACAGCCAAGGTTTTGTTTTCTGCTTTTACACAAGAAGAAAGGCCTGGACCTCTTAAAAAAGATGACAGGGAGAAAAATCATGAATTTGATGAATTTTAAGGGCCAATTCTACCTGCACAGCAAATGAGTTACAGAAGAATGTTTAAATTAAAAAAACAAACCAACTGAGAGCACAGATTTGAATTAATGTACCTGATTACTGACTTCAGAGAATACCTCCTTGAAAAAAGAAATCGACTTTTCCTGTTGTTTCTCATGATAGCTCTCTAAGTTAGGGGAAACATACACTGAGACATTTGTGAGTCTCCAAGCCTTAACCCTCATAAGTAAAGCAGCAAGGATAAGAAACAATGTGGAAAGGAGAAGGAAGTGATACATGGAATTTTTCCTGCAATATGCCATGCAACAGATTAAAACATCAATATTACTTACAGATGTGAATTCTTCTGGAAGAAGTTCAATTAAAAAAATTCTATGCCCCAAAAAATTTGAAAATTTAATCAATCTTGAATAAGGAGATAACATTTTGTTATACGTACAGCAATTCTTTGCATGCTTATCCTTCTAAATTCAAACTCCATTGCAATTTTCTTACACACCTCCTATTTTTTTCAAGAATTTGAAAACAAATATTTGTCTGACACATTCTTATGTGGTGCCTGTATTGACTGTACAAACAAATTTTAAGAGTTGTTGAAAGAAAAATAATTTTTCCAAAATGTATCCCTCCTGGATACAAAAGGAAACACCATTTTTTATGTAAAATTGGAAAAAAAATTAAACCAGGGGATGACATAATATCTAAGCACTGCTCTGGCTTGTTCTCTTTCCCTAAATCCAGCTTTCATTTTTGACTTTGCAAGGCATTCTGGTGGAGACTGAGCAATACATTTAAGTTTGCAGAAACTTCTTTGTGATTCTTCACAAGGTTGCACAGCAGGAAAAATAAAAGTACTAGAATTTGTTATGAAGCTATCCCATCTAAACATTGCATCTTCCACTGTCCTTAAATCTCCATTAAGATTTGAAGCAGACAAGGAAGGAGATGCAGTGGGGTAGCCACTGCATGTTAGGAGAGTCTTGATTGTCTAGAGTTCAATGATGGTGACAATAGGGTGGAGTGCTTATGGGTGAGAATCAGGGGAAAGGCCAGGAGGGCAGATACCATGGTGGAGTCTGCTAGAGACCACCTTATCAGGATGAAGAGGCACACAAAATGTTCTGGAAGCAGCTGGGAGAAGTATCATGATTGCTAGCCCTTGTTCTCATGGAGGACCTTAACTTGAAAATACAACACAACAGCAAGCAGACTGTCTAGAAGGCTCCTGGTGTGCAGCAGAGAGCTTCCTGACACAGCTGGTGAGGAAGCTGAAGAGGGGAGATGTCCCACTGGACCCGCTGAGTAATGGGGTGCTTGCAGGCCATCTCAGGGATTGCAATTGTGAAAGAGAAATTCTCATAAAACAATTTCAAAAATTGTGAAATTCTCAGAAAACTCTGGAGGGACCTCAGCAGAAAGGCCATCTTGGACTTCTGGACAGACACTGGCTTGATAAAGTTGAGAAAATCCTGTTGGAGGCAGTCCTAAAGGGCAAAGGAGTCCAGGGAGGCTGGCAGTGCCCTAAGGAAGCAATATTACAGTCACAGGAGTAGGCTGCTCCCTATGTACTGAAAGATGAGCCGGGGGGAAGACAACTGGCCTGGTTGAGCAGAGAGCTCTGGCTGGAGCTCAGGACCCCTGCATTAAAAAAATACAATTTTTTCTTTCCTAAGTAAATATTCAAGAGGAACCTGTGCTAAAGTGCTGTAGGAGACACACATTACTTGGAAGCACAGATCCCAAGTGAGTTTTGAACAGGACGGAGTAGATATGTTTAAGCTAGTGGCATCTACAAGAATGATCCAATTCTGGAGTCCCAACATTTTTCCACAAACAATCCCAACTAATTACTGGCTACTCTAATAATTTTAAATAGAATCATTTATGTGTGGAATGCAAATTGTATAAAAAGGACACCTTAAATAAGTGCATTATGCACTAAGTACATTTTGTATCTGATTGCCATATGCTTGTAGAATACCATCAATTTTTCCTAAGAAGAAAAAAAACCACTGAGAACTATTATTTATAAAGCTAATATATAGGAAATGAAATTTCATTCATTTCAAAGTTGACTAAGAACAGAGAAAACCTGCCACTTACAAACAACTCCATCTAATTTAACACATCAAAGGAAGTGATGCTTAAGAATAACAACAGGATGCTAAGAATTGAATAACCAAGGAATAAAACAATTTCTAATTCTAGAAATACTTAAATAATACCTAAATAAGAATTCAATTGCTAGCATATAAGGATGTAAAATTTTCCTACAACTTAATATGGTGACCTAGTCCTTTGAAATTACCTGGTATTATCACATTTCTTTTATACTAATCCCAGTCAGTACCTGGTTTTGGATTATATCTGTCATTGTAATTAGCACAGTAAAATGGCATGTATTTTCTTTTAATTCCCCTAATTATCTTCCTTAATTCTCTTAAATAACTTTCATTTTAATGTTTACAATAAATTTTTACTGGAAATTATAAACTCATCTCTTTAAGTTTCTTTTGACTCTTACAGAGAACCTACCTGATCTGTAATATATTGAAGTGTTTAATGTCTTTTCACTATATTTTCTTTTTAACACCTGCTTGTAAACAGTATCAGTCTTTTCAGACTTTTCTCTTTATACTGAGAATGATTTTCATTTCTGTACAGACATTCTGGATTTACAGTTGTCTAATGTACAGTGGGGCTGACCAAAATCAAACCATTTTCAAGGCAAGGATGTATTACTACTCATTAATTGACTTGAATTTTACTGCCTTCCTAGGTGTTAAAATCTGTACAGTGTTAACAATTAATGTGTGTGTGTGTGTCTTAATTGG